ACGGGGGAAACGGCCGCTCCTTTCGTCTTTTTCCTCTTCAGCCCGTCTCCGTACTATGCGCGCCCCGCAGGCCGCTTCCGCTCCCTTCCCTTCCCCTCCCGCCCCGCCCCCGCCGGCGAGCGCGCTGCCAGGTTGGGGAAAAGGGGGGGGTGGGGGTGTTTTCGACCACCTCGCCGTGTCCTTGAGCTCTAATGGGATCAGCTCTGGAGGGGGTCGGTAGAGGGGGTGACTGCAACGGTGGTCGCCTGCAGCGCAAAGTGGGTAAGTGGTGACAGAGCTGTGGAGGGTATTGTCATTTCACATGGTGTGCCATACTAGTGCTAATGCTGTTCTTCTTTCTCGCTTCCCCTCCCTAGCCCTCCACTCTTGCCTCGGACAAATCTTCTGCTCGGGTACCTTGTTCTCTAAGGAAGAGATAGAGTCCCTTAGCATTGCTAGTATTTGGTAGTAAAGCACAATGTGCTGAGTGGAAGCAGACAGAATAGCCCATTGGGATGCTGCTGCGTTTTTTTACCATGAAGGTGGTGAGACACTGGAACAGGTTGCCCATAGAAGTTGTGGATGGCCCATCATTGGAAGTGTTCAAAGTCAGGCTGGTCAGGGCCTTGAGCAACCTGATCTAGTGAAAGATGTCCTTGCCCATGGCTAGATCGTCTTTGAAGTTCCCTTCCAGCCCAAACCATTCTGTGATTGTGTGCACTGTAAAGCGTGTTTATCATTGAAACTTAAAAGTATTTCTGGAAATATGAGGCCATCCAGTCACAGCACAACACACAACAAGCATTCATTCTGTTCAGGAGGATGTTTTTGCTGTTAGAGTAATTATGTTTAATTTGAGCTTTTCTGGTAACTCCTGGACCAGTAGAAACGGTGCTAATGGAGTTGAGAGGCCTTCTGTTAGCAACAACGTTGCTAATAAAATTCTCATTGCTGCATCTTTCATAGTTGACAACCTGTCATCCAGAAAACCCCACTGAGATTTTTCTGCTTACAGTACATTCCTTCAGAGTTTTTGGACAAAAAGCTACCTGCTCTTTATAAATGGTGTGGGTTTGATTTTAAATTCATCAGGAAGTTGAGCAGTTTCCTTCAAGCATTTTGGATTTGTATCACCTTTGAGAACAGTTCTCTTGTTTTTATGGCTTTATGTGTTTGGGTCATTCTTCCATACTTCTATGTATCCTGGAATCTACCTGCTTACCCTAGAGTTTGTTACTAGGGTAATACATGTGGATTGAATGTAACATTTTTGAAAGAGATGGGGAAAACTGTCGTCTTAGTAAATTATTTATTCTGGAGGCTGCAGTTGCCCCCAGAGGAGTGTTGATGGGGCACAGATGAAGATGCCTTCTGTTTATAACTTGTTCAAAAGGTATTACTGATTTGATTTATCAGATTCAAGGCCGTGAACTAATGTTGGGATGGAGCTGAGGTCTGGCCACTTTAGTGGGAACATGAAGAAACTAAATGCTACCAAAATGCCTGCATTGCTTTCCTCTTAGCTTTAAAAAAGTGTAGGCTGCCTCTACCTCTCTCCATAGGAGAGAGCATAGCCAAATACTCATCTCAGAGGAAGAATCAAGTTGAAGGTGAAAGATTATCATCAAAAGATGCTGGCCAGTTGTGCTTTAATACCAAGTGAACGTAGGCTCTGTGACTTTGTATGTCTGTGAGGAATAGAGGAGATGTTGGCAGATGCCCTCTGAAATAGAGAACAGTTTTCTTAATTCTTTCAAAATGTTTTTCCGTGCAGCTGATGTACCTTTAGTGTAGTTCTGCTTGAACTTGAGGTGGCTATCCATGCACGTAGCCCTGTAGGCTTCCATTTTTACTACCATAGGTTTGCCCTAAGATTCTGCAATTTAGAGATGCTGTGGATGTCCACTTCTAATTCCCCTGTTTTCTAAGCATCTAGATTTTTGTAAAAAGCCCTTTGGAGCTTTTGATTATTAGAATACAGTCTCTAGCTATTACTACACAAAGAGATTTCTGGGATTGTTTTTCAAACAACCCCAGAGGGCTAGTTTGGGAAAAATAAGGGGGAAGGAGAGTGCTAGAAGTGCCTTCTGCTTTTCACTCCTGCCCTGGCAGCACTGGCCAGCTGGTGTCTACTTGTAGTCTCCAGTATTTGTCTTCTTCATGTCTACTTTTTTCTGGGCTGAAATGTCCATGAAACAGCTGAAGCATCCAGGATATTAACTGGATATTGTTTGATTTACTTGTGCTGGAGGGTGGTGTTCCACTTCTTGGAAGCAAAAGTTGAGGAAATTGTTGGGAAGAGTGCCAATCTTGGTTAAGCAGTTAGAGTGGATGAATTTCTGACCTTTTCTGGGAGTAGGGCAAGCTTCTTTCTCTGAAAGTTTCCCCCCAACCTACTTAGAATTTTTGCTTGGGAGGAGACAGGGGGTGGACAGACAGAGTTGACATGTTAGGAGATATATGCAAGTAGAGTCAAGTACTTTCAGAGCTTTCAGGATTTTATTGATGAATGAAGGAGCTGAAATATGGCAGGGACTGTTCTTCTAAAAGTATTCCAGCATACCTCTCAGTAGGCTTGAATTTATCTAGCTGCTTTTTGAACTTCTGCAAATTTGCAGCATCCACAGCATATCACAAAAAGGAATTCCATAGATTGCCATGTGTTTTATGAAGAAGTTTCTCTCACTTGTTTTGAACTTGACATGTGCAACCTTTGATAGGTGTGTTCTCCTTATGTGATTTGTTATTTGCTACTCAGTTTTGTCATGATTTTGTAGACCTCTGCTATATCCTTTACTCAGTGCTTTTTCTTCCACCCTGCAGAATCCTAACTATGATAGTCATTGCTTGTGTGGAAGCCACTCTGGCTTTTCATGTGAACCTTCTCTGTAATTACAAGTACGGAGTACCAGTAATTTTACTGTATCACTTTGAAGTTGGTGCATTAGGGGGGAAACAAACTTTCATGCAGTGTTGAGGAATATGCACTGTGGACTCGCACAGTGAAATAATTGTATTTGTCTTAGTTGTTAAATTTTTTTTTAACACTTCTGATATCCAGTCTGATTTGTGTTCACTGTTCGTGAGTACCTAGTAGATGTTTTCATCAAGCTATCAGATATAACCTCAACACTTCATTCCTCAGGGGTATGTAACTCAGAGCCTGTTGTATGTATGAATGGCCTTGTTCATGTGACCATCAGTATGAAATTTAGCACGTCTCTTTGATCTGGTAAAGCCTATAGCTCTTACCTTTACTGGCATACTTACAGACATTTGAGAGTGTTTTGAAAATGTTTAACTAACTTAAAGGATAAGCAAATTGAGAATTTTTATATGGAAAAGAGAAAACAAATCTGCTCTCCGCCTCCCAGCATTTTACTTTTTTTTTTTTAAGTGTTGCACTTGCAAAACTTTATTTTGCTTTTTTATTAATTTCTCAAGTAATGCATTTTTGCAAACAGTATTGAAACTTTTTTTGTGTATGTGTGTGAATGTTTCAGGAAATGCTTCAAAGAACATCAGAAGATTTTTTGCCAAAGATGGAAAGTTCAGTTGAAGAGATGGATACTTCTGATACCCAGTGGGGCTGGTTTTATTTGGCTGAGTGTGGTAAATGGCATATGTTTCAGGTATGAAGTTATATGAGCTATGATGGATTCCATATATCAAACTACCTATTGCTGAATTTGTCTAAATGTGCTTTTTCATTTATTTTGAAGACTGATTCAAACAGTCATTGCTCTGTTAGCAGTGAAGATATTGAAAGGAGCTTCCGAACAAACCCACATGGTTCTGTTTCTTTTACTACTGCAAAATTTAACTACACGCTAGATTTTTCAGGTATGTGTCTTTTCATAGAGTAAATTTAAATAATGGAAGGTGCCACATATCTCAGTTCATTTGTTCTTTCAGCAAACTATTGTCCTCATATCTAGTGCAAAAACTTGTGACTGGAAATGCCTTCTTTACTGGAAAGTACATACGAGATTTTAGAAGCAGTTGCCCTGCTATATTTTCTAGTGTAGTTTATTAATAAAGTAGCATGTCTTGTTTAGTAGCACTCCATGTTACTGCTGCTTACCTTAGCTGTAGGTGGTATGTAGCATACCTATGCTACATACCCATATATGGGACTGGGAAGGTTGAACATTTTTTCGTTAACATGCAACTGCTTGTAAGCTTGAAAAACCTCTTCCATTCAGAGCCTGTATAAGAAACATTGATATTAAGGAAGCTTTCTGCAAAATATTGGCATCGAAGAGATTTTATAATTCAGCTGGTAGTTGAAGCCAGTTCTGTTGTCAGAATAACAAGGGGATAGGCAAAAGGATTTTCTAGTAAATTGTAAAGATCTCACTTATGCCATGCTTTTAAAATATAGACTATTACAGGATTCTAATGTATGTAGCTAATTATAAATTAATCTGTCCTTTGCTTAAAGGTATGTTCTAATGACTTCCATTTTTTGTGGTGTTTTTTTTTTTGTTTTGTTTTTAGCTTTTCCATCCATAGATTATTTATTTTCTGCTTAAATTACAAAACAGCTATATGCTTTAATAGAAGCCTCTTCCAAATCAAAGACAATAACAGCAGTTCAAATACAAAAGGGGGGACTGGGTAAAACAGTGACGTACTGAGAATGAAGTAGTATGTAACAATACAAGGAGTTTTATGTTTATTTGTGTTGAAATGTCTGTTTAAAAAACCCTTTGTTTTGCATCCCGAATAAAACCAATAAATGCAAATGTTAAACAATGATTTTTATGTTACTGTTTGTAGGTCTTGATGTCTTGCATTAAGGATAGTAGTAATATGCTTTGTCATCCTAGTTGTATTGAAGTCAGTGGAAGTTCAGTGGAAGTTTTGCCAGTGATTTAGTGGGGCTGAATGTTAGATGGGTATTTTAACAATAAATGTTTTGTTTAGCAAAATATGCAAATATTGCACAACTCATATAAATTACGATGATTCTGAGGCAAGTATTTAGAAACATTTATCAAAAATGCTGATTTGTTAATTGTTGAAATAGGAGTTCCTTTCAAGCAACTTTGAGTGTAGTAATGTTATTTTTTAAAACTACACTTAAATGTTTCATATGCTGTAGATGAATTCCAGAAACTTTTATCCTAACTTTTGTTTTATGCTCAGTGATGAAACAAACCAACCTAAGCACCCTTAAGCAACGTCCAATAAAGCGAGCTCCTTTTTCTATCAGTGCTTTCAGGTAAGGAAATAAGAGGAAGACTCCTTAGTTTTATTTTGTTCCTGATTCTTCTAAGTAAAATGAAACAAAAATATGTTTATATTTATTTACTTTTTACATCAGACAATTTGAGAGGTGAACAGAGGTGGGAGAGCTAGTGAAGAAGGAAGACATTTCGGAGAAGAGTGACAAAAGAATTTTTAGTTTGTTTTTTTATCTCTTTTTCTGAGAAAGTAAGGAACTTGTAGTGGGAGAGGCAAGGCATACTGAATACTGATATCCTTTGGCAAGGTTCTAAAGCTGTGCCTGACTTTAGCCATTAGAGTTCCTTGCTGTAAATACCTGTTGAATCAGAATTGCTGTGGAGAAACAGCAGCAAAAAATGGAATTTTGTTCCATTGTAATAATGACTTCATAAATTATTTAGAAGTATTATGAAGTATTATTGTAAAAGCAAAAAAGATTGAGTTATATTTTCCTGTCTGTTTTAATCAATTACTCTAAAATGATTTGAAATTGCAAGAACTTGCATCACAGCAACGAGATTGTTTTATGAGTCTAATCGCTTTAGATTGTAAGTTTCTTACCATTAGAATAGTCATTAGGTATAAAGCTGTGCTGATGTAAATCTGATACTCACTAAACAATAAACTGATCTCGGCAGTGATACTACCACAGGTAAAATTTACGATATGCAATATGTGGGGGTTTTTCCCCAAATAGTTTCTTTGAAATGATTTTAGTTCTGAATTGTGGTGTGGTTGTACTTTCAAAAAGAAATTTGGCATTTGTAATAAGAAATGTAGTAGCAATCTTCTTACACTGACATTCAAGAAGGACCGTTTTTTTTTTTTTGAAGTGCCACCTGTTTTTTCAATGGATATTTCCTGAAGAGTGCATGTAATAATGTGGCAATTCACTTTTGTTTTTTTGTTTCGTGAGTAATTGTATTCAGTACTCTCTTTCCATGTGATGACACCATTCTTTCAGGAGATTGTTTCTTTTAATCCCACTTTTAAGGCTTCAAAGTGGCTATTTGATGTATATGCTTAAAACACTCCTTTTTTTGAGGGTTCGGTTTTGTCTTTAAAAAAACAAATTTGACTATAATTTTCAAGTGTGTATTTAACATAATGCCTTTAAATACTTCAAATGAGGGCTCAGTTTCCAGAGGCTGAGGCTAGTTCTAATTCCTGATAGTTTGGAATGTTCAGGCTATCTCTCACATTTCTAAATTAGTGTTGCTCTCCTGATGTTGCAGACCTTTCTGACCATCTCTTCTGATTTATCTTCCTGTCTTTTGCTGGGTAGCTGGTGTATTAAAACTGTTCATTACTGTGGTTTATTTACAATAAGCTAAGCCAGAATTTGAATACAAAATAAGACCTCTTGCTTTTGACCTTACCTGCTGACAACAGCTTTTGTTTAAATTAAAACCCTAAGTAGTTTTGTATAAGTGTTTTTTTTGCATACGGTATTGTTAGGAGCAGGAGTTTGACAGGAAGAAAATGCCTCATGTCTTTGATGCGACATGTTTTTACCTTTTTTGTTTGAAGTTTCATCTGTGAAAATGAGGCTATCCCTATGCCTTCACACTGGGAGAATGTAAATACTGAGGAGCCGTATCAGGTAAGAGTTGATATGCAAGTTGGTCAAAAGCATGTGATAATGAAATAATGCATCGAATTGAAATCGTTCTAACCTCTTTTTTTCCAGCTTATTCCATTGCAAAAGAAAACAAATGAATATAATGAAGTTTCTAGTCTCTTTGGAAAAACTATGGATAGCCACCGAATTAAAAGAATTAAGAGAATACAAAATCTAGACTTGTGGGAGTTTTTTTGCAGGTGAGATGATTTCTAAAACCAACAGTCTTAGGATTGTTAACAGAGCAAATCTTGAAGGCATGTAGCAGAAATATGTTTAATTGCTTTTACTATTACAGAAAATGTGTTACTTTTTATCTTATAAAATTTTATTATTTGTCATTCCTCTATTCAAAATTCAATTTTCAAGGCTCTCTAGCTTCTACAAGTGGAGAAATGTAATATTTGTAGAAATGCAGTAGACATAGCACAGATAAGACTGATGCATTAAAGATGTTCAGGATGTCCATGTGGTAGATGTCCATGATACTTACAGTGAAGTAAGGAGAATAAAAATAAGCTTTTTGTAAAATAATTCCTTGGCAGGTTTGTATTATTTTAGTTTTTAGTGAACAAAGCAAATGAATATTTGCGGCTTGTTTCATTTCTCAACTTTATGAAACCTAGGACAGAATTAAGTGTCCATTTAGCACATATTCATGTAATTTCTTTAAGTTTAATGTGCTACAAAGTTTTTTCTAAGTTCTCTGCTTTTCCCTCTTCATATTGTGCTGACCTGGAAGAGGTAGGAAGTGCCTACTTCCTAGAACGATTTCTGTTTCCACTTATTTCGTAGTGTGAACCTTAAGCAGTTGTTTTGACAAAAGTTATTTGTGTGTCCTCTAAGAAGGAGTATGTATCAGAAAGAATGAGTTTTTAAGATGTATTACGCTATTAAAATCAACTGAAATAAGTTAAATAGTGAGGAAATAACTAAGTGGATATATATGTTTCAAAAAACATGTAGACGTGGCACTTCGGGACATCATTTAGTGGGCGTGGTGGTGTTGGGTTGACGGTTGGACTTCATGCTCTTAAACATGTTTTCCAACCTTAATGGTTCTTTGATTCGATGATTAAAAATTTGTATGTTATATGATTTTTTGAAAGATAAGTAATTTATTGTTAATTTAAAGCTATATCATGAATATGCATAAGGAAATGAATTTAAGTTCTTGGTTAAGAGAGTTAACCTCTTAATTGCAAATCTATTTGTTTATATTTACCTGTTTAAGTATTAAAGCTTATTTGTTTGACCTTGTGTTTCAATATCTACCTTTTTACAAATAGGTTTCTGTAGAGGTGTATTTATAACATCTTAGTACCAATCTTAATTTTTGAGATTAGAAATAGCAAGCAGACTTCAATGTAAATGTCCTTTGAGTCTCCAGTGTAGATGGCCGAGGGGGGGTGGGGGAAGACTTTTTTTGCTTAGCTTAGGAACTGATGTCATTTGCAGAGTGTACTAGTTTTCCTGACTGGTCAGTGTGTAGAATTTGTCGTTTAAGAATTCTGAATTATGGATAATGTGCTAGAATATTCTCAAGATATGAAACGTGAGAATGGGAATTAAAATTTCATGTGTCAGGAGTATTACAGTATTGCCATATAACTAACTATAAAACAAGGTACTTTTGACTATCTGTGCAGTGTAAAAGTATATGGAGAAAAGTAATTTCAGTTCTAAAACTTCTTTTCTGTGTCAAAAAAATAAAAGTAACAATGAAAATTGCTAGGATAAGAGTATGTAATTGATGTTTAGCTGCTTTTCTGCTGAGGGTAAAACACAGCCTTGCAATTGATGGGCTTACACACACCGGCGAAGAAATTATTGCCGGGTAGTATATTACAAAGTAGGTATTCCAGCATTTAAAATTCACTAAAAGTTCTTTTGTTGTCCCATGTAGGAAAGTTAAAGTAACAGAAGATAAATCTTAGTCTAGCGTATTTTGATTTGTGCATATGAGTTTGGAGTTGTAGAGGAGTACAAGCAAGTAGAAAACAGTGTTTGGTCAGTGAGATTGCTGACCATCTTTAGAAACAGCTTGTGTGCTTGCATATGTACAAAGAGCATGTCTCTGGGTATTTAGTTTTGCTTTAGGTTGCTGCTTTATTGAGTGAACTGGCTGGTGGATCAACTTAATTATGTTTTATTGGATTTGTTTGTAACTGCTGGTGGAAAGTGCTAAGATGATGCTTTTTAGAATAGTTGGACTCCTTGTTTTCTGTTCCAAATCAAAAAAAGTCTTGCTGTGGCATTTCTGCGTACTGCAGAACCTCTTTCCCAGTGTGCGCAGAATATTCCACTACTTATGAGGAACAATTGCTACTTAAACTTTAGTGCTTTTGAGAAAGTGCTCTGTTTCATTGATAAGGTCAGTGATTAAATTTGAGCATTGCTTGAAAGATTATTTGCATCATTGTAGTGGTCAAAACACATTTGCCTGTTATAATAGTTCCCATATTATTTTAAATTGGTTTTATGGAATCAACTGTTTGGAGATAGTGAAAGACTTACAGAACATTTTTGGATAGTTATTATTCACCTTTCCTAGAAATTTGTTCTGTTCTATTTCAAGAGAAGTTACTTCAGGCTGCCTTTATACATTGTCAGAGATCAGCAGCCAACAATAGAGGGCTGCTGATCGAAAAATTTCACATGTTCAGCATTGCTAGCCCTTATCTCAGAGGTGTTAACCTCACAGAGGTAGTTTTTCAAGGTGCAGGGAATCTTGGCTCCCATGTTATGCTGAATTGCTGACAGAGTGGAACTTGAGTGCCTGGAACCTTTCTGCCTCTGACACAAAATGTCAAAAATGAGATTATTAGTGAAACCTCCCAGATGCCCTTGAGATTCTACTGACATCCTTCTGATTTGGAAAGCAGTTGTAGGGATTTTTTTTAGGGAAAAAAACACAAATATAATTAAGTTGCCAAGACATAGGTATTTTAGTTTGCACTACATGGAGGAGAAAAAAAAAACCCTGAATAATAAAACAGAATAAACATATCTTTCAAGCTAAGTACTGCAAGATTTTTAACTTCTGTGAAATGTACTTACTTATGCATAATTGCAATGTAATGTCATTAATATGATAAAGAATCTTTGCTGCCTGTTTTTTTTCCCTGGACCTGATTGATAGGACCTCCTCAGACTACATCTAAACTGTAGGCCCTGAGAATGCCTCCCCAATTCATGTGTGCATTGCAGTTATAAGCAGGTTGCTTAATTTGGTAAACCTAAGTACGTAACACAGTGCCCCATGCCCTGTGACTTTTATAGGAAGAAAATTCAGGTACATAGACAAGAACAAAACTAAGATGCACTCTGACTTGTTTTTGCCTGGACAGTCAAGGGATCATAACTATGAACAGCTCAGTACTTGAGACACAGCTCCAGATTCCACTTCTTCATGGATCTTAGGAAAACCTAGCTGACAGAAGGTCACTTAAAAAGATTGATGGAAAATATATCTGTTCTTTAATTGAAGGCGTGCTATGGCCTTCTGCCCATGAGATTGTAATATAGGTTCACTTGTAGTGTAAGGGTTTGTTGTTTTGTTTTGTTTTCCAAAATTCTAGACCAATGTAACCCTGTCAATGCATGACTTACCTCTTTCAGAAAGTATATGAACCATAAATTCAGAAAACCATTATGAAATTATCATGTTGAAGTAATTTTACCTAAAAATTTATGTAATTTTATATTTAATATTTTTGGATATGTATACTTTATAATCCACTAACTTTGTTATCCCTCCCACCATGCTATTTAAGTAGGTGGAGTGAACAAAATGGGAGAAAAATGCCTTTCTTTTAAAAATGTATCCACAGAAAGTGACCACACTGAAACTAATGCCAGATGAACAATGTTGATAAAATTAGTATAAAAGACCTTTTTCCCTAACCTTGGATTACTTCTGAAAATTAGTCTACAGCATCTGGAAGTGTGCAATTTCTCAACATGTACCTTAAGAGTTCTGATCTGTTTAAAAACTAGAATCACCTAGTCACTTGCGAAAGTGGAATGTAGAGAGTGTTTTTAGGTCTGTCCCCTCTGCAGTGTTTTCAGAATAGTAACTTAATTTGATTATACAGATGTTTGTAATGCTGTATTATGTGTTCTCCTTAGGAAAAAAGCTCAACTAAAGAAGAAAAGAGGTGTCCTAACTATTAATGAGCAGATGTTGTTTCATGGCACCAGTAATGAATTCGTAGAAGCAATATGTATTCATAACTTTGACTGGAGAATAAATGGGATGCATGCTGCTGTGTATGGAAAAGGTAAGTATTTTTGTCACGTGCAAGAGTTTGGTAATCTTAACAGTTCAACGTTAAGTGTTTCCTATAGTATGTTCTTTGTGATGTACTCCTTGTGTTTATCCAAGAGCTGTTTAATATAGTTCTGCTTTTATGTCAAGTGTTATTAAGAAAGTTAGGATACCGTAAGGAATGTAATTGTCACAACTGGCTGGTAGGACCAGGGAGCTTGGGGAAGGGATGCCCAGCAAAGTAGCGTTGATCACAAGACAATCTCCCTATTAAAGCATTCCCACTAAAAATATTTGGTCATGTTGCTATAATCTTGACAATTTAGGAAAAAAAATAAAATTGGATTGCTAATGAACATAAAAGCACAGCCATCTTTCATCATCCTTATACCTATATTCATGCTTTAGTAGTTAAGCTGTCATGACAAGAATGTAATCAGATTTTTTTTTTTTTTTTGAAAGGGACCTATTTCGCAAGAGATGCATCATATTCCAGTCGTTTCTGCAAAGAGGACATGAAGCATGGAGATACTTTTCAAATTCATGGTGTGAATCTGCAGCCTCATCTGCATAGACCAGATAAAGTCATGTTTCTTGCTCGCGTATTAACTGGTGACTATATCAATGGTGATTCAAAATACATGAGGCCTCCTTCAAAAGATGGAAGTTTTGTGAACTTATACGACAGCTGTGTAGATAATACCTGGAATCCAAAGATTTTTGTTATCTTTGATGCCAACCAAATCTACCCTGAGTACTTAATAGAATTTTGTTAAGTTTGAAAGGAGCTGAACTGAATATTGTTTGTGTCTTTTTGATACTTTTGTTCCTTTTGTAAAGACAACAATATGAAAACATGAAGCATGAAAGGAGAGAGGTGAAAGAAAGGCTAGCATGTATTTATGGAGGAGGGAAGCTATTAAACATTTAAGAGATTGGCGAACTGTTTTGAAAAATCTGTAAACTTTACTAATGCATTTTTCAAATGTAGAGACTACTAGAAATTTGAAATTGTGTAGTGAGCCTTAAATACATTGGGCATTGGTAAGTTTTTAAAGGCAGAATTTATCTTCTGATTTTTTTAATATATTACAAATATTTATTCATGTGGTAGAAATATGCTTGTATTATAGTATGCATACTACTATGAAACTAATATTTTATTAGATTGTCTGCAGAACATAAAAATAACAAAAAAAGCAGCAACAAAAATACCCAGGGGACTTGGCTATCTATGTGTGTATGTCTGTTCTGTAGTATACGTTGCTTTGGTTTTGGAGATCTCTTAGTTTGGATTCTAAACCTACAAAAAAAATCCATCTGGAGAAAACTGATGAAGGAGCTGCAAAGTTCATCAAAGCTGTTATGTTTAACTTCAGGTACATTATACTGTAAGTTTCAATTATATACTTGCAATGCTTTAATAATATACTTGCAAGATTACAAAACCCTTGCACTAGGATTTGAAATTTGGGTTTGATGGAAATTATTCCCATAAGCTCTTGTCATTGTTAGTTGTTTGGAATGTAACTTTTGAGCTCAGTGTTGGGATATCAACAGTGCCATACATCTTCCTGAGTTCTTTTCTATAGAATTTTTGCCCTCTTGTTAACAGTATGCATGTGCATGCTGTTACATTCATGCAGCTCTGCTGCTGTGATTTTTGCCTGGTCAGGGTTTCAGAAGCACTCGGGGCTCATGTACTTGCTGTTATTGAAGACAATGTTTAGATTAACTTTGCTGGAAATAATACGGTTAAACTAACAATGAAAATTTCAAAAGATGCCATCCTTTAATTTTTTTTTTTAACATTTTAATAGAAAGCTTGTGTAACACTTGTGAGGCTCTGGTTTTCATAAGTAGTATAGTTGTAAAGTTAAAATGTTTTTCACATGTAGAAAGAGTAAAAGAGACAATATTTGGGTAAAGAAGAAACTTGAGTACCTAAATACATGAAGAGCCTGAAGAAGGAGCTGTTACAGTGAAATGCACTGAAATGTTAAACAATTCACTACGAAATTGTGTTCCTGGTGTTTTTCTTTGTTAAAGGACCTAAGGAGCAGTAAGTGTCAAGGTCTAAGTGGGGGCCTTTCCAGGTTTCTTCTTTGGCTACAGCTGGTAACAAATCCTTATGGAAGTAGCATATAGTTATGGCAGATATAGAATGATCTGTATTGGTCTGTTGTTAATAGACTTTTTGGATCAAAGGCTATGTTTAAAATCTGTCGTATTTAAAAGGCACTGCAGCTGGCATGACCAAGTCTGCTCAATATTGTTTTAAACCTATGGAACTGGAAGCAGAATATGACTACATATTTGTCATCATAACTGAGGACACAAACATCTCTTCCTTCTCCTTAGTGCTGTTATCTTTGCCTGTCAGTGGATCTTGCACAAGTTGGGTGTCTGTATTTATATAATTTCATGGCAGCCTTTCCTTTTGTTTCTGTTCCTAAACCATTTAGGGCTAAGATGCATTTTCCTCTTACTTTAGTACAACAGGAAGTATGATCTCTGATCCCAGTTGGGAACTCCTAGGCTCTACTGTTGTAGGCATGATTTGTGTCTGATTCACTACTATGCTAGCTGTGCAAAAGGTACATTGTTCCCCACATTGTAGAAAATATTTTTTAAAATATTCCCTGCAAATCATGCAGGGAATTTGTGTATTACTGACTCCTTTTTATTCTTCCACAGTGTTCTCCAGAACATAGATTTTATGAAACTAACAAATATATGCGCTGTTGTTCCTTTGATTTTTGCCTTATTTCTTCTGCTGTCTAAACTGTTCTTTTCAGTTGAGAAAACTGAATTTTCTTTTTTAATGTCTCATGGACACAAAACACCATAATCTATACTGTTCTTAGTGACTTTTCCAATTGTTTGTATGGTGGTGTCATTTAAATTGAATGGCAGAATCTTAATCTTACCAAAACTGCACAATTGGAGTTTCAGCTCTTCTTTTAATATACTGTTCTGCTTTCTGGTGTCTGTTTTTTGTGCTGATGAATCTTGATACTGAAGGTATCTGTAAAGTAGCCATCATTTTCCTGGTAAGGGGAGAGAGATTATTATTGCAAGCAAAGTCCAGAACTCTACAAGTAGCCAACACATGAAATAGTTGGCCTTAATAAAAGGAACAGTGAGAGAGGAAGGGAGGAAAATAATTTCTTGGACTGTGGAGCATTAAAGAAATGAAAAGGGATTTGGTCTGATTCTGGGGAAGGAAACCTGCTATTTTCTGTTATTATTTCATGTAGTGAAACTTTATGCTCCATTTTCTTTTTACACCTGTGCAAAAGAGCATGTCATTCTCTTATGTGCCTTGATCAGAGATAAAGCCTTCTCACTAGATTATTCTTGTGGCAGAATGTTTTCAGATGAGCACAACACTTCAGTATGAGCTGATCTTATTTCTATATTGTACTGGCCTCCTGTGCCAGCTTTGCTTTTTAGAATGGATGTCTACTGAATTATTGCTGAACAAATCTCATTTCATCCAAAGCACTGTGGGAGAGTGTCTTCACTGCAGTTCACTTACAGGGGCAGTTTGTACACACTTATAAGTTAAAATCTGCAGAAACAAAAGGATGCAGCTTCATATTTTATAGATGTCCCAGTACCTTCACATCCAAGCTAGGTGTGAGATACATAATGTACCAGCTGGAGCTAGTGACTTAAATTCCAGGAGTACATTGGATGCCACTTCAGCTGGTGGTTTAAGGACAACTCTGATCCTTTTTAAGCCTTTATCAGCACACAGGATCATAGCAGGAAGGCTGAAGTGAGTTTGTGCAGTCTACATAGGTAGAGATTACCTTCAGGAAGAAGACTTATCAGTAATTGCTGTGCTTCTCACTGGCCTATACAGACTATACATCTGATGAGCATGTGTCAGTCTTAAAATTTCTTTGACCTATATATCCATCAGTGTTGTAACTGATTATGATGATGATGATGATGAACTGTCCAAACCAGCTGATTTCCAGAACAGCCTACGTCTGCTCCAGAATAGTAGAACTCTTGACAAGTCACCAAAAAATTGTGGGGGCTGACAGATGGAATACCTTGTAATGTGTTTGCTTCTTCCATGCTTCTCTTGCTTTTCTCTGCTAACACAAGCCTGCAAGAGTTTAGAGGCATAATCTCTGAGTAGCCAAACTAAGAATGTGGTTGCTTGGCTGCATTTTTTGGTTGTTTTTGTTTAACAGAGGCACAAGCCACTCACATTGCTGATGAATTCACTGACTTGATTTCTGTGATTTACAGAGTAGAAAAGCCTGTGTCAGCAAGCCACACTAGAGGTCAAATGTTTATTTTGCAAAAAACATATATTACATAGCAAATGGACTGGGCGACCCTGGCCCAGACATTAAGCCTGCCTAGTCACCACCTAGTTCAGCTTAAAGTTTGCTGGTGAATATGCAGGCATGCCCCAGGCACACTAGAATTGGGAAAGACACACACCCTCCCCCTGCAGCCAGCACCAGACACATGAGTAGTGACCCATGGTCCTGCTCCAGCAGCACTGAGTTCCTTGCTCACCTCACTTGTGCTGCTCAACCCCAACAACTGGTTTTGGGAACAGACACGGTTCCTGCTCCAGTTGGCTGAGGCTTCAAGACCCCCACTGGCTCAAGTAGCT